ATTGTGTTGTTACTCAAATCTGATCTTTATTTTAGTGTAATCAGACTTGTCATCTCTTAGAATTTGTTTCCTTTCCCTTTCTTTTTCTTTCTCTCCTCTGACATTTCTCAATCTCTTTTCCCTCTCAGCTGAGATCGAGCAATATCTTCGTCTTGACCTTGACCTGCAGATTATGAGATTGGAAGAGGGGAGGTCATTTCTCTACATAGGCAAAACATTCAACTAATTGTCTTCTGAGCCCTTGAAAGGAATTTTAATCAGTGTATCTTCTGTCATAAGACACAGCCTGAGCGTTGTGTCTTAGGAGTTGGACAAGGAGTGCTTTATTAGACAACTTCCAAAAAATTCACAGGCATTTCCTTTTCATCTGTCTCTCTTCTTCCTCTTGTTCTCACCCCAATTACCACTATCTATTCCTATAAAAATCTCATTTCCTCTTTTCTTCTACAACAGAATTGAACATTCACTCAAAACCAGAGCCCCCATCTGTAGACATTATTTTCTATTCTCTTGATAATAAAAAAGACATGGCTTTCAAACACTGTTCAGAGATAAAGGAAAATATTGAAATTCTACATGGGAGTTGGGAGAGGAAGAAAAGAAATCCTCCACCCTAGACTGGGTTAATCCATCCAAGGAACCTATTAAATTTTCATGTTAAAACATGAACATACAACTCTCCTATACTTGGAGTTTTATTTATTTATTTATTTATTTGGAGAGATTTTCGCTATAGGGCGTGTGCACTCGCTAGACAGACAGAGACATAGAGACAGAAAGCGAGAAATCACCCCCAGGGGGGATGGTCACGCCACAATTCCTTCTCCTCCATTCTCCTCTCAGGATCTTGGGCATGCACGCACATGCGCCCGGCGTGAGTTTTAAGCCACCTGGTCCGGGACACGAACCGCGGTCGACTACATGGGAGTCCAGTGACATAGCCATTACACTAACTGCTGGTTCCCTACTTTGAGTTTTATTAAAATGCAAATGAACACAGAAGGGTATCTGTTGTTAGTTATTGGGCCTAAACCATTTCCTGAGAGTAATTTTTGATAAATGAGAACTAGAGGAAAATTAGGAACTTGAGAGAGATGGAAAAAGCATTGTCAGAAAATGTAGCCAGGCAAAGAGTCAGTAAGGCTGTGATGATTTGGCTGTGACACTATGCAGGTAAAGTTATACTCACCTCCTAAACCGCAAACTCGAAATACTCATAAGTCCACTTTCCAGAGACATATCATGGGTTGTTCCTTCCAACTCTGTATCTTGTTCTCTCTGACCCTAAGCACATCTACCTGGCCTACACTATAACCAAGTCTTCTGCACCAAACTCACTGACCTTCTCAGTAAGCTTGGATGTGATTCCACCAACTATCATATCCTATAGGCCCCACATAGAGATTTTTAACCCTTTGTACAATTTTAAGTAAGCACCTAGTAAATTCTGTACCCACACCGAACATCCCCAAAGCACTCCTTAAAGGAGAAATGTGATCAGGGCAAGACTGCAATGTTCATTACAAAGATACCTAAGGAATTCAGGGCTAACTAAGCCAGAGCATATACAGAAAGTTGACTTTTGTCTTGTTTTGTTTTTGCTACCTAGGGCATGTGCACTCACTGGAGAGAGATAAAGACAGAGAGAGGAGAAAGTGAGAAATCACACCGCAGAGTGAATGGCCATGCTGCAATCCCTTCTCTTCTATTCTCTTGATGTTTGGGGCATGTTTACACATGTGCCCTGAATGATTTTCAAGCTGCTGGGTTTGGGACTTGAATCACTCAGTCAGCAACGCTAGATCCAGCCCCCTGAACCTCCACACCACCTACTGGCCCCGAGAATAGGCTTTCTCAAAGGATTCTAATTTCCCCACAAGGACTAAGAAAGCATGGGAGAAATGAGTGCTGCAGTAAGAGCAAATGGGAGGCAGTTTGACAGCAAGAAGCAGTGAATGAATGACCCAGGAGAAAGGAAAGCAAAGTTACCAGTAAACAGCTATCAATCAACAACAGGAAATGCCATTAGCATCAGTGGCAACAGGAATATTACCAAACATGTTACTCCAAAACTCTACACAAAAGGAGAGAAGTCTGGGGTATTGAAAGCATAGTGACTTTACTATGAAAATTACTACCTATTGTTGTGATCATCTTCAGACCACATTTTTGTTAACTTTCTTCTGTTTATTCGCCTTTCTCCCAACACATCAAGAATTTGTGGCCTGGGGAAATTCATGTTATAGTAGGATACCCCAAAGCTGCTGGAATGTCCTAAGACTCTGAAACTGAACTACTTTTCTGGAAGCGGATATGATTATTTAAAAACAAAACAAACAAACAAACCAAAAACCGAAATCTGCAACAGACCCTACCTACTCCAAGACAAATACAGAGAGTAAAGAAGTCCTACATCACCAGAGAAGACTTCAGATTTGCCAAAATGTACACTTTTTTTGTTTTACATTTTCTATACAGGCTTGGCAAAGTTTAGGGAAAACTAATGTAACATTACCAGGATCAAATTAAAGATTAGTACTTGACCCCAAACCCTGTACCCCATAATTGACTTACTGCAAATAAAACATTCAGGATTTCTCTTAAAGTGCCTACTGAAGAACAGCCTTCTTTTCATCACTGCTGCATGTGCATCGAGTTACACAAACTCCTAACAGAAAGTGTCTGTGACTGACAGAGTAACGGAACTCCTTTCGGAGTAAGTGAATTTCAAAACATAGATGATCTATCTATATCCTTAGCCATGGGTGCCAATGCAAATGAGTCAGAGGATTTGCTTCAGACAGTGAGTTAATTGTGTAACTCCACAGCAGAAAATGCTATTGGAGCGTGCTTGCTGACCTCACAGTTGAAAAAAACTATTTAGAAGATGTGGAAACCAGATGTTTCAGTCACATTTCTGCCGCTGCTCTGAGAATTTGTTGTGAGCAGCCCCTGAGAGGCTTTCCTTCTCTACGGCTGACGATATGATCATCTCAGTCTACTTATTCGTCTTGCTATGGGAAGAGGCACAAGGATGGGGATTTAAGAATGGAATCTTTCATAACTCCATATGGCTTGGTAAGAAACTTCACTTCTTCACTAGTGAGCTTTTGTTGGTAATGTCAATTCTTTGAAATCATGGAGAAGTGAAGCAAAGCAGTAAAATGTTTTGTCTGTTCCAGGCTAATATTTTCTAAGAAAATGCTTAGGAAAGATAACCATACAGAAGAATAGACTTTTTTTTTTTAATTAGAGTTCTTGATGTCTAAAAGTTACAAGTACTTATTTGTAAAGTGAATTGTTCCTTGGAAAACAGAGGTTCATATTTATATTCGATGTGAAAGCATATTTTAAGTATTTTCAAAGCAGATGTGGTAGCATAATAGTTATTTCTTTTAAAAAAATGAAAACACCAGTATATTACTTTATTTTTATTACAGTGTGTTTGCAGTCAGATGTTAGTGTCATTAGAGGTAAAGTGGAATATGCACAAATTTTGTAATCATTGCTCCATATGCTCTGAGCTATAGTTTTTCTACACGTCTTTCAGTGACTATGGCAAAGCCAGCTTGCAATAAAGGGGGAAAAAATTTTAAGTTTGTATTTTTTAATGCATTTTTACATTTTGACCCCTTTCGTTAATACCATCCATATAAACACTTTTCTAACCCTTTTGTTAGAGAAGAAAAGTTTTTTTTACTGTTTTGTTTTGTTAAATATAAAGACTGATATAGGCCAAAGGGTGATGATAAATAATAGGCCAAAAAAGAGAAAATGTAGAAACACCAAAATACCTCTTTTAATACTTGAGAAAATATTTTAATTCGCATGATACAAATTAATATTGTTTGATGATCGTTATTATGTTTAGTAGTGAAAAAAAAACAAAATTGGTTGGAGGAAAAAAAAATAGATTCTTGCATGGAATAAAGAAATAAAGAGAAAGCAAAATTAACCTGGAGCTTGTATTTTTTTTTTTCTTTTGTCATGTGCAACCAGCACATGGCTGTAGAGTTGTTCTCGTTGAGCTTGCCTCTCACTGGTGATAACTGCAATGATGATTCATTTTAAAAGCCTGATGTGTAGTCCACAGTCTTGCCGCCTCTTTTTTTCAGTTTAAACCAGTGAATTCCTTTCAGTGCGATCCATTTGGCCAAGATGGTTTCTGGAATTTTGCAGAGGAATGAGCAGATCTCTTTGTTTATTTTCATTGCCTAAAATCAAATTTAGGAAATACAGACATATTTGTCAGATATGGAAAAAAAAGTCAGAAAGCTAGTGGAAATTAAGCCCTTACGGATCAACTTTGAATTGCTGTCAAATTCTCTAATGATCAAGTATTCCCAAGGGTTTTTGTTTTGTTTTGTTTTTATTAAAGTGTTGTTGTATACTACAAAAGCAGAAACCTGGACAATGGAAGTTCTGCCCCAGAGGTAGAGAAGAACGAATGTTTGCTAAACATGTGCTGCAATTCTGAGGCACAGGATAACTGCAAATTGTTTCAATCTGGGGCAAACTATTGACTAGTCAACCCAGCATAAATTGTTTACAGTTGGTTGGGTTAATATAACATTAGAAACTATTTAGGGAAGAAAGAAAGCTAGATTAGAGGGCAGGAATCTGCTAGTAGCTATCAAGGATGCGATACTTTAAATTCTCTGGGTTATAATTCCAAGCTGGTAAAATGAGACAGTTGAAGCAGGAGATTCGTAAGGCCTTTTTATTCCTGATTTATGATAGTGTGTGCACAAGCAAGAACAAGACAGAGCCACTCTCGATGGGGTATTGTTATGCCACAATCCCTGTTCCTCGACCCTGTAGCTCAGCGGAATCTTGAGTCCCCACGTGGGCACCCCATGTGTTTTTAGGCAAATACAAGGATCCGAACCCACAGGTGGCTATCTGACTCTAGCACTATAGTCCAACACACCAAGGACTGCATCTCGTAGGTCTCCCTCAGGCTTATTTTAACACTAGTATTCTCTAATTCTTTTTTTTTGGAGAGATTTTTCACTATAGGGTGCGTGCGCACGCCAGACAGACAGAGACATAGAGACAGAAAGCAAGAAATCACCCCCCCAGGGGGGATGGTCACGCCACAATCCCTTCTCCTCCATTCTCCTCTTGGGATCTTGGGCACGCACACACACGCGCTGGCGTGAGTTTTAAGCCACCGGGTCCGGGACACGAACCGAGGTCAACTATGTGGGAGTCCAGCAACACAGCCATTATACTAACTGCTGGTTTCCTATCTTCTAATTCTTTACATAGTAATTGCAGAAACCAAACCAAACCAAAAAATTCTTAAGAAAAAAGACTGGCTCTATGGCACCGCGATAATTTGCTGTCCCAGAGAAGCTGGATCCTACATGGTGACCACAGTTCAAATTCCTGATCTGATTAGCCTGAAAATACATCCAGAGCATGTAGGCAAGTGACCAGGAACAGACAGGATGGGGAACTGGAGGAAGGGAATTGCAGCATGGCCAGACTCTCTGGAGGGGGCTCCTTTCTCTCTTTCACTCTCAATGAGCATATGCACATACTCCATCATGAATAAAGGGGAAACAATTTAAATACTTAAAAAAAAAAAGATTTCAGTCAACTTACATGGGTTATAAAATTGGCAAATGCACAGAGCAATTCTTTTCAGCCACTGTATTGAATGTGAAAAAGAAAGAGAATAGTGACATAACCCAGGTTTCTGCCAGAGTCCAGAAGCTATTGTTATTCCTATTTAGTAGTTGAGAAATCTGGCTATACAACTTTATGCAAGGCTATACAACTCCTCCATGGTAAAACCAGCAATGGTAACCAGAGCCAACATTCTACTGTCGGCATTTGCTAAAAAGAAAAATGTATTGGCTAAATAGATTTTCAATTTTAATAAGTAACTGATTAATCAACTAGAAAAGTTAATCAAATATTATTTCTTCTAAAGGGTAAAACTTAAAATTAGGATTATGCAGGAAGGCCCATCTTAATAGCTTAAAATCCTGAATAGTTTAAAATTGGCAAGTAGGTATACAGAGTTCTCAACTTGTTCATGAGGCAAGATACCAGGAACTTTTGTGGCCTTTAAGAAATTATATGGAAGATTAGTATTAGTTAATAAATCAAATTGAAAATGAAAATGCATAAGCTTTTACTACTTCAGTTATTATCTTATTGCTACATGAGTATTAGCAAGTACCAAAAGTTTAAGAAAAACTATCAGGAATAATACTTAAAATTATTATGTTAAAAACATATCTGTTGGGAACCAGCAGTTAGCGTAATGGCTATGTCGCTGGACTCCCACGTAGTCGACTGCGGTTCGCGTCCCGGACCCGGTGGCTTAGAACTCAGGCCGGCGCGTGTGCGTGCGTGCCCAAGATCCCGAGAGGAGAGTGGAGGAGAAGGGATTGCAGCATGCCTGGGGGGTGATTTCTCGCTTTCTGTCTCCATGTCTCTCTGTCTGTCTGGCGAGCGCACACGCCCTATAGCAAAAACCTCTCCAAAAAAAAAAAATATATATATCTGTTAATTTTTTCCCTGTAAACATTGTATTTCAATTTTGGAGCAAGATACCAAGGAAATTAGTCTGAGAAAACTTAATGATTATTAAAATAATCTCTACAAATTTTTATTTTAAGATCGTTTTAATCTATGTTCTTAGGGAATGGATACAATTATAACATTTTTTTAGAAATTAACATTTCTGGCCTGGGCCTAGTGGATAAGGGAGCAAGATCCCACATGACCAGCCACATGTTCTAGTCCCAGCCCCACTGGCTTGAAAAACTCACTGGATGTATGTTTGAGACAATGTGTTCAAAATGTTGACAGGATAGAGAAATGGAGGAAAAGGGACTGCAGTGTAACCAAGCCCCCTTGGGGAGTGCTTTCTCTCTCTCTTTCTCTGGGGAGTGCACACACTAGTCTGCCAAATTAAAATAAGAAAAGAAAAACAGCCTCTATTACAAAACATACGTAAATGAAACATGTCCCTCTGCTCTATTTCAAGATAATGATACTCATATGCCCAATTGTATCCAAATTCCTTAAAGACAGAGCTTGATTGACAACATTTATCAAAATGCCTCTAGTACATGCTCAAAATAATCAACTTGGAAAGTAGGGTAAGTTTGATGAGGTTTTTGCCACAGGAAAGATGCCTGGGCAGCAAAGACTCACCAAGGGAAAAACATCTTAACTGGTTATGGTGTGATGATCATCGCACTCTCTGACCAATGAGTGTTAGATTGACAAAGGCCCCCTGTGTATAAGCAATGGGCCTTTTTCATACAATGTATAAGAACAGGATTTCTCGGAGTCCAGAAAAACAGGGAAAATGCCACACACCATTTCCCGGTGAGTAGTGGCAATGTCAACTTCAGAGATGAACAGGGACTGTATATCTAATACAGCTGGATTCTTGTCTTGGCGCATGCCAAGGAGTATGTATTCTCACTGGAAATGGTCTTAATGGCGACTGATTGTGCAGGCTGGGGTACACAGAGTAAACCACACATAACCTACAGACCACATAAAACTCTTAGAACTAACTTTTGGGGCTAATGTTATGACTATTGTCCTGGGAATCTTTTCACATTGTTTCTATGGAAAAAAAAAAAAACATTCTGAACTCAAAACAATCCATTTAAACAGTGATCTATTGGAAGACAACTCATGTATGACTTAACATTGCCTAAAATATGTTGGGAACAACATGTGAACTCAAAAAGACAAATCAAATAAAGAATTTAGGCACGAATTGGTAGTTAGGTGTGCCCGGTTTCTTCTCTGCTGTGGTTGAATCTATTTCTCCTTAATTTAGTGTTTGTTTGCTTTGGATTCCTCCAGACCTTTCCCCAGTTTTTCTATTTGTTTACTAAACTCTTAACTACATTGCATTAGTCATTCCTCTCAAATGGCTATTTTGGCTTATTTTTCTCCATTATTGTGAACCTACATAATGGATTCTTTTTTTCTTTTCTTTTTTTTTTTTTTCAGAGGTTTTCGCTATAGGGCATGTGCGCTCGCCAGACAGACAGAGAGAGACATAGAGACAGAAAGTGAAAAGTCATCCCCCAGGGGGTATGGTCATGCCGCAATCCCTTCTCCATTCTCCTCTCGGGATCTTGGGCACCCACACACACGCGCCTGGCGTGAGTTCTAAGCCACCAGGTCCGGGACATGAACCGCAGTCGACTACATGGGAGTCCAGCGACATAGCCATTATGCTAACTGCTGGTTCCCTCTTTTTTTTTTTTTTATTGCTTACCTTCCAAGTTTTTACATGACTTAAAACCACAGGAAAGTCAACACTTTATTAGCTTGTGTAGAAACGCATTTTTTTAAGAATTATTCTATTTAACTTTATTTATTTTAATTTGACCAGAGAGTGACAGAGAGAGAGAGAGAGAGAAAGAAAATGAGAATGCGAGTCACAAGGTCCGGGACTAGAACTGTGGTGGGCCATGTGGGAGTCCAGCGCCCTCAACCACCTTGTCACCTGCTAGCCCCTACAATATTTTATTAAAAGTCTTATTTAAGGGACCAGCAGGTGACTTCATTGTTATGTTGCTGAACTCTCACATAGTCGACCACTGTTTGAGTCCTGGACCAGGCAGCTTACAATTTACTCTGGTACAGGTCCATGTATGCCCAAAATCTCAAGAGGAGAATGGAGGAGAAAGCATTGCCATGTGCACAATCCCTCTGGAGGGAGTGATTTCTCACTTTCTGTCTCTCTGTCTCTCTCTGTCTCTGCAGTGAGTGCATGCGCCCTATAACAAAAATCTTTCTTTTTAAAAAACTTCTTTTAAAACAAGAAAATGAAAAATTCTCTTGATGATAATGCATGTGATGATATCTTTAACTGGACTAATATACAGTGTATTCATACTGGGAAAATTCATTTTGCATGCTGTAATGATATATAGTGGTTGAATGTATTAAAAATTTAAAATAAATAAATAAAAATTCTTTAGAAAGGAAAAAAAAATCTTCCAGGCTATCAGGTTGGAAACATGATTTAGTCTCAACTTGCTATCTATGCTCATGTATTGCCCTAAAATTCCCCTCATTCATATTTTTTCAAAGCTTTCTAACAATGAAAACTTAACCACCCAAGGCAGCTGACCCAGAACGCTCTTTGGCAGGAACAATGGCTGACGTAATCTTCCAGCTGAGGCCACAAAATTTCCCTTGTTCCACAAGAATGGATAATAGTGCATTCATGAAATTTGTGATTTCACAGAACAAGCAGCAGGTGTGTACCACAGAGAAGCCCGATCTGGCAAATACAAGCTTACCTATGCGGAAGCTAAAGCAGTGTGTGAATTTGAAGGCGGTCGTCTTGCCACCTACAAGCAACTGGAGGCAGCCAGGAAAATCGGTAACTGATTTAACAAAGATTTTTCTTCTGTTTCACCCTTGTGGGAAAATCCACCTTTCCTACAACCCCCCTTCTCCCCCTTTTTTTACACATCTATTTGTTGTGATTTTTTTAAACTACAGATCTGAATCTTGACCCACTGTTGGCCATGTGGGAATCTAGCACACCAACTACCATACCATTTGCTGGCCCTTCTATAATCCTTAATACCCTCTCCAGCCCTTCTGATAGTTCTCTAAGACTCCAACATCTCAGCTCTCCACCTTCTCCCTTCCCTCTGCCTAGAGCTGGCAGGAAGTTTCAAGTACTAGAAACTTATTTGTGAGCTAATATAAAAGTAAAAAAGAAAGAAAAAGAAAGAAAGAAAGAAAGAAAGAAAGAAAGAAAGAAAGAAAGAAAGAAAGAAAGAAAGAAAGAAAGAAAGAAGGAAGGAAGGAAGGAAGGAAGGAAGGAAGGAAAGAGAGAGAGAGAAAGAAAGAAAGAAAGAAAGAAAGAAAGAAAGAAAGAAAGAAAGAAAGAAAGAAAGAAAGAAAGGAAGGAAGGAAAAAAGAAAGAAAGAAAGAAAGAAAGAAAGGAAGAAAGGAAGAAGAAAAGGGCAAAGTAATAACATGACAGTAACACAACTAGCCCTGCATGGGAAAGTTTCTATATTCATGTCCTGGGATCTCCCTGTGAATACCAGGCATACATGCACATGACTGTGATTTGGGCTAGCTGAGACTAGAGGGGAATCGAGATGTGAAGACTCCATTAGGCTCGCTCGCTCTCTCTCTCTCTCTCTCTCTCTCTCTTTGAGGAAACAAACTTTTTTTAAAAATTAAGGAATAGGAACCAGTGGATGGCATAATGGTTATGTCACTGAACTCCCATGTGGCTGACTGTGGTTCAAGTACTGGACCCAGAGGCCTGAAACTCACACCAACCACATGTGCATGCCCAGAATCCTGAGAGGAGAATGGAGAAGGGATTGTGGCATGGCCATCCCTTGTAAGGGATGATTTCTCGCTTTCTGTCTCTCTTAGCTTCTCCAGTGAGTGCACACACTATAGCAAAATTCTCTTTCTAAAAAAAAAAAAAAGAAGAAATAATTATCTCAGTCTCATTTATATTTCTATTTATTTTTATGCTATTGCTGTTTATTTTGAATATTGTTCTACTTTTTTTTTTAAGTTCATTTGTTTTGTTTTGTTTTGCCATAGGGTGTGTACACTTGCCAGAGAGAGACAGAGGCAGAGAAAAGGAAAGTGACAAATTTTGGGCACTAACGCACATGTGCCCAGCATGATTTTCAAGCTGCCAGACCTGGATCTCAAACCACAGTCAGCCATGTGGGAGTTCAGTGGCTTAACCACCATGCCATCAGCTTGTCCCTCCACCTCTTCTTGAGAGAGAGAGAGAGTGAGAGAGAGAGAATGCATTTGTACCTTAGGATCAAAAGCTATGAGAAAAAGTGGATACACTATTATAAGATATCCGGACAAAGAAACCAAGAAGATGATGTCAGAAGACTGGTGAAAAGTAACTGAATGGCACCACTTGTTTCTTTATACAAAAATGGGATACTACTATCTCACCTAGATTTTCAGGAGAAAATTTCCATTCAGAACTCCTTTGCTGGTAGGATAATGCCTAGCAAAGCTTATGCTACTATTATACATAACCCAAGATAAAAATAAAGGTATTCTCTCAAATATCCCAGTCTCCCCAGACAGCTTCTCTATAATCACAGGGCTGTGTAGGTTGAAGTAACTAGAATGATGGATACCAAGACCATGGCCTCTACTTAGTCATACTAACCTCTCATAAAATAATTCTTGGATGGCATTAGCAGTTATTAAAACAACCTCAAGCTGAGCAAGGAGAAAAGGATAAGGTTTGGCTTAAAAATTTATGAGAGCTTTTATTCTTACTCAAATCTTTGAGAGATATTTTTACTATAGGGCATGTGCACTTGCCAGAGAAAGAGAGAGAGAGACAGAGGGATAGAAAGTGAGAAATCATCTCCCAGGGGGGATGGCTATGCCACAATCCCTTCTCCATTCTCCTCCCAGGATCTTGGGCATGCATGCACACACACTCAGCATGATTTTGAAGCCACTGAGTCCAGGACTCAAACTGTGATTGGCCACGTGGGAGTCCAGCAACATAACCACTACACCACCTGCTGGCCTCAAATCTTTAAAACTATTACTAAAATCTTAATTGATCCTGAAATGGAAATTAATTTAATTACCATTAGAAAATAGTTGTTTTAGAAATCATGGTGATTTCAGAAATCATCCTAAAGCACTAGGTAAGCCATTTGTGAAAAGAAGCTAGCTCTAAACTTGGATTATTTTCACATCCATGGCATTATAATCTCTAGACCATCTGCATCTATTTTTATTTTTAAAAATAAGAGAACATTTTCTAGTAAAGGCAAGAAGTTATATTTTATGTGTATTTCAAACCTGTCTTTATTCATGAAACCCACACATGTACACAAGTGAGAAAGAGAGATAAAGGAGAGAAATGTGAGGGCATGCAGCCTAGTTGCATGAGGCCGATATCTGCATGCCTCATCAATTACTGTGAACTGGCTGACACATGCCTTGGATGCAAAGGGCTCTATGAAAACATTCATGGGGCACAGGAAACATCCTGACCCTGGCTAGGTCATGCAGTGCCTGTTCTATACAATGTTTATGGCTTACACATTATCCTCTTTGATGCATCCTCAGACAGGCTTCCTCGGAGTTGCAGAGGAACAGCATAAATAATCTGGCTTGACCTATGACGCATAACAGGACCACACATGATAGTAACAAGGTCGAAAAACATATACACTAAAGTCCTTATCTCTAACTGTAGAACTTCAACAACATCCGAAAGCTTGCAAAGAGTTCACTGTGCCTGGTAAAGTGCGTAAAGAAGCTCGGCATGACTGAACAGCACAGCTTGTCTATGTTCACCTGCACTTCCGCTTCTGTATCTCCTCCTTTCTCTAACTTTTTTCTTTCACAGGACCAAGTCCCAGGGTGAATGCCAATAGTATTACCAAAGAGATGTTACTCTTAAGGTTGCCGGCAGACACCAACAGAGCGAGGGGGAGTACCCTCCACATGGTCTGATCACACCACAATCCTCTTCCTTCAGTCCTTCAGCCTTTCAGGTTTTGAACTGTGCATGGTGTGTTCTAAGCAGACCAGGCCAGGGATTTTTACCATGGTTACCATGTGAGATTCAGCTTCCCTCTCTCTCTCTGTCTCTCTCTCTCTCTCTCTTTTTTTTTTTTTAGAGGTTTTTGCTATAGGGCACGTGCACTCACTGGATATCACCCCCTACCCGATGGCCACTCTGCAATCCCTTCTCCTCCATTCTCCTGTCAAGATCTTGGGCATGAGCACACATGTGCTCAGCGTGAGTTTAAGTCGCCAGGTCCAGGACTCAAACCTCCATCAACTACATGGGAGTTCTGTGATGTAACCATTATGCCACATGCTGGTTCCCGATCCAGCTTCTCTTGTGCAGCGCATTGCTGCTGTGCCATAGAGTAGGCCCCAAGCTTTTCAAAATTTTTGAAGGAAACAGTTTTCTCCCCGTACACATGAATTTGATTTGGAATTTGTGAAACTTACTGTTTGGTGTGTATTCTGAGTGGGAAATTGCATTTTGTATGCTGTGATGATGTCCAGTGAATGAATGTAAAATAAATAAAAAGAAAGAAAGAAAGAAAGAAAGAAAGAAAGAAAAAATAAACTTACTGTTAGAAGTGGTCATCTTTGTTGAGATGACCTTTGCTTACAGAGTTCACCAGATAAGTTCCTAACCCTCTCTTCCTCTTGCAGGCTTTCATGTTTGTGCTGCTGGGTGGATGGCCAAAGGCAGAGTTGGATACCCCATTGTGAAGCCAGGGCCTAACTGTGGATTTGGAAAAACTGGTATTATTGATTATGGAGTCCGTCTCAATAGGAGTGAAAGATGGGATGCCTACTGCTACAACCCGCACGGTTTGTTAAACATAATATTTTTATGTTGTGCAAAAAGAGTTACATGCTACCACAAAGTTGTTAAAAAGAAATGTCTTATTTCTGAAATAATTTAATTCAGGAATGATAATTATTAATAATGACAACCACTCATAGAGTGCTTATCCTGAGGCAGATGCTAAGTTACATTCCTCCGTCACTATTCTCACTTAATAATTCAATATTCATAATGCTGCAAGGAGTTATTGTTATACCTATTTTAGGAATCAGGAAACTAAAACTTCCAGAGATTAAGTAACTTATCCAACTAGGCAAAGAATAACTAGAATGTAGGTGAATCGATAATTTAGGTCTTTTCTGTGCCAGGAAACTTCCAGCTACAAAGGAAAAAAAAAAAAGAAAAAAGGTTATAAACTTGTCATAGTTAGTTATCTAAGCCAATAAAGTGACACAAGCAAATGTAACTATTCAAAATGATTCCTGTGACAGAGAGGGGAAAATGAGATCAAGTAAATTCATTTTATTTATTTATTGAGAGAGGAGAGCGAGAACCCCAGCAGAGTCTTGCAATACCAGAATCTTTCCTATTAGCCCTCCAGCCAGCAAGGATCACAGCTGTGTCCAATATGCCCAGGTCATCCTGGGCTCTGAATCCAGGACCTTCCAGTATGGCCCCAGTATCACACAGCGGCATTCTACTTCTTGTGCCACCAAGGCTGGGCCAGATTCTTTCTTTAATTTCTTTTTGTGCCTAAGTGCTTAGACTTTCAAACTCAGTACCTCTTATTTTGTGGTTTGTTTTAATAATTATATACTATATATGTGCGTTATTATTACAGCTGAGCAACTCTAAAGTTCTTCAAAGTCTGAAATTTGTTGATTTGCTGACATGATGCCACAAACAGAAAAATTTATCCAGAGCTCATGTGATAGGTAGCAGTCAAAATACTATAATACAAAAATATTGTAAAAAATTATCTTCAGGCTATATATATGAAGTAGACTTGAAACATAAATTAATATCATGCTTAGAACTGGTCATATCCCCAAGCTATTTAATTATATATATATGAAAATATTCTGAAAATATCTGAAATCAGAAGCACTTTTGTTTCCAAGCATTTCAGATAAGGAGTACTCTACCCGAATATAACATACCAGGTTTTCAGAAAAATCATGATGTAGTGTTCTATGTTTTTCCTTTCTTTCTTTTTTTAAATAATTATTTATTTATTTAATTCCATTTGTCATTATTATTTCTTAATTTGACCAGACAGAGACAGAGAGAGAGAAAGGAAAAGGGAGAAAGCAAGCCACCAGGTCTGGAACTCGAACTAGGGTTATGCCATGTAGGAGTCCAGTGCCCTTAACCACCACGCGACCTGCCGGCCCTTGTTCTATGCTTTTCTATGCGAAAATACATCAAAACATTTCCTGACAACCCAATATTTTTACAAGTAGTTTACCTTCATGGTTGCTCTAAGGAATACTTAGTGAGAAAATTAGCTCTATATAATTACTGTAAAGAATTATTCCTTATTCATGTTCTTGAAGAAAAAATAGACTATTTTTTTTTCTTTTAGAGAGAGAGGATTTTTTTTTTTTTTTTTTTTTTGTTTTTTTTTTGCTGTAGAGCACATGCGCTCACCAGAGACACAGAAAGTGAGAAATCGCCCCCCCAGGGAGCATGGCCATGCCACAATCCCTTCTTCTCCATTCTCTTCTCAGGATTTTGGTCATGCATGCGCACGTGCCTAGCATGAGTTTTATTTAAGTCACCGGGTTCAGGACTCAGACCACGGTTGACTACGTGGGAGTCCAGTGACAGAACCATTTTGCCATCTGCTGGTCCCGTTAAAAATTAGACTGTTCTTTGGTGGTTTATTTTCTCTAGGACAATGTTACATAGTGTTATAGTGTATTACAAAGTGGCATTTATGACAATAAACAGCCTCAGATGGTGTCTTGTTATAAGAAGTTATAAGAAATTCTTGGGACCAGCAGTTGACATAATGACCGTGTCGCTGGATTCCCATGTAGTCGTCGACTGCAGTTCAAGTCCCGGACCTGGTGGCTTAAACTCACACCAGGCGTGTGTGTGTGCATGCCCAAGATCCCAAGATGAGAATGGAGGAGAAGGGATTGTGACGTGGCCATCTCCCCTGGGGGGTGATTTCTCGCTTTCTGTCTCTCTATCTCTCTCTTTCCTTCTGGTGAGTACACATGCCCTATAGCAAAAACCTCTCAAAAAAAAAAAAAAAAGAAACAAAAGAAGAAGTTATAAGAAATTCTGTAACACAGCAGGAGAGTTATAGAGAAGTTATAGCATATGATTATAAAATAGTATTTAATGGGAGTCAGCAGTTAGAGTAATGGCTATGTCGATGGACCCCCACGTAGTCCACTGCGGTTTGCGTCCCGGACACAGTGGCTTAAAACTCACGCAGGGCGCATGTGCGTGCGTGCCCAAGATCCCGAGAGGAGAATGGAGGAGAAGGGATTGTGGTGTGACCATCCCCCCTGGGGGGTGATTTCTCGCTTTCTGTGTCTGTCTCTCTCTGTCTGTCTGGCAAGCGCACGCGCCCTGTAGTGAAAAATCTCTCCCCCCCCCAAAAAAAAATAGTATTTAATGATGTTAACAATTGGAGTACAGTTTCTTTCTTTTATTTTTTTTGGAGAGGCTTTTGCTACAGGGCATGTGCGCTCACCAGACAGACAGAGAGAGACAAAGAGACAGAAAGTGAAAATCACCCCCCGGAGGGGATGGTCACGCTGCAATCCCTTCTCCTCCATTCTTCTCTCGGGATCTTGGGCACTCACGCACACGCACCCGGCGTGAGTTTTAAGCCACCAGGTCTGGGACGCGAACCGCAGTCAACTACGTGAGAATCCAGCGACATAGCCATTATGCTAACTGCTGGTTCCCTGGAATACAGTTTCTTATGTCTATAACTAACCTATATTTCAAAATTATGTGTATTACAGTTAGAAAAAATTTTGCGTGGAACTATCACCTAGTTCCACTTGAGACAAAATATGAATACATATTTGCAGTGCATTTATATAGAACCATAACCTTCAAATTCTTCTGACGTACTATAAGCTTCTTTGGCTCTATACTATACTTAGTCTTATATTTAGTTATGTTAATCATACAAATATTTTCCTCTCCTCCCTCCTTCTCTCTCTTTTTCTTCAATATGTTTATGTAGGCAGCTCTCCTTTTACCCTCAAGAGTAACTTCTTTCAAATATATTCTCCAGTTCTTCTGTTTGCTCTGAGCTCCTGTTCATTTCCATAGGTCAAAGTCTAGGATAAATGAAGAAGTGTTAATGAAAGGATTCTTACATTATTTTATTGCCTTATTGTAAGAATACTGTCCTAACTCATAAATTTTTACCAGCTGTGTTCTTTTCTCAAGGTGGCTGAATACTTTTTGCTCCAGGGATATGTGTACAAAATCCTGGGAGACTTGTTCTTACCCAATTCTCAGGATATTGAGTTACTTCCGGATTTGGTGGTATCCTGGTTATTTAGGATGTGGTTCACTTGAAGGAAACTGTGGACCGCCTGAACTAGCACTGCAAAAGAACAGCTTTTTGAAACATAATTAGAATGAACGAATCATAATAGTATCAGAAAATAAAGCAGTCATTATTAATTGATCAATATCACCATGCTAGAGATGATCAAAATAAGGAAGAATGTGCTCATTAGTAAGTGTTTAGGGGCCAGACAATGCTGAAGCAGTAAACTCTGATGTACTGCAAGGCTGAACCACACAGGAAAGTCCTGGGTTCGCTTCTGGAGACCTCCCTTTGCATGCTGGACACTTGCATGCCCATGATCTGGGGCTGAAGTCAGGGGTGGGTTCCTGTGATCAGACCCTATCAGGGGTGCTCTCTCTCTCTATCTCTCTCATTCAAGGAAGAAATAAATAAACTTAAAAAAAGGTAAATTTTATTTCAAGTCCTGAATAATATGATGTTGACTGCTTTTATGTATGTAACATAAAATATAGAGATAGGGCCAACAGGTGGAATGGGAGCTAATGCGCTGGATCCCACATGGCCAACTACATGGTTCAAGTCCTGGACCAGCAGCTTGAAAATCACACCTGGAGCACATGTGTGCATTTCCAAAATCCTGAGAAGAGATTGGAGGAAAAGGGATTGTGGGGTAACCTTTCCCCTTGGGGGGGTGATTTCTTTCTCTCTCTCTCACATGCACCCTATAGCAAAAATTAAAGTATATATACACACATAAATATGTATAGTTTATGAATATATATATATATACTTTACATATATATACATATATGTGTGTGTATATATGTATATATTTGTAGAGAGGGAGAGAGAGAGGAGAATGGAGGAGAAGGGATTGTGGTGTGACCATCCCCCCTGGGGGGTGATTTCTCGCTTTCTGTGTCTGTCTCTCTCTGTCTGTCTGGCAAGCGCACGCGCCCTGTAGTGAAAAATCTCTCCCCCCCCCAAAAAAAAATAGTATTTAATGATGTTAACAATTGGAGTACAGTTTCTTTCTTTTATTTTTTTTGGAGAGGCTTTTGCTACAGGGCATGTGCGCTCACCAGACAGACAGAGAGAGACAAAGAGACAGAAAGTGAAAATCACCCCCCGGAGGGGATGGTCACGCTGCAATCCCTTCTCCTCCATTCTTCTCTCGGGATCTTGGGCACTCACGCACACGCACCCGGCGTGAGTTTTAAGCCACCAGGTCTGGGACGCGAACCGCAGTCAACTACGTGAGAATCCAGCGACATAGCCATTATGCTAACTGCTGGTTCCCTGGAATACAGTTTCTTATGTCTATAACTAACCTATATTTCAAAATTATGTGTATTACAGTTAGAAAAAATTTTGCGTGGAACTATCACCTAGTTCCACTTGAGACAAAATATGAATACATATTTGCAGTGCATTTATATAGAACCATAACCTTCAAATTCTTCTGACGTACTATAAGCTTCTTTGGCTCTATACTATACTTAGTCTTATATTTAGTTATGTTAATCATACAAATATTTTCCTCTCCTCCCTCCTTCTCTCTCTTTTTCTTCAATATGTTTATGTAGGCAGCTCTCCTTTTACCCTCAAGAGTAACTTCTTTCAAATATATTCTCCAGTTCTTCTGTTTGCTCTGAGCTCCTGTTCATTTCCATAGGTCAAAGTCTAGGATAAATGAAGAAGTGTTAATGAAAGGATTCTTACATTATTTTATTGCCTTATTGTAAGAATACTGTCCTAACTCATAAATTTTTACCAGCTGTGTTCTTTTCTCAAGGTGGCTGAATACTTTTTGCTCCAGGGATATGTGTACAAAATCCTGGGAGACTTGTTCTTACCCAATTCTCAGGATATTGAGTTACTTCCGGATTTGGTGGTATCCTGGTTATTTAGGATGTGGTTCACTTGAAGGAAACTGTGGACCGCCTGAACTAGCACTGCAAAAGAACAGCTTTTTGAAACATAATTAGAATGAACGAATCATAATAGTATCAGAAAATAAAGCAGTCATTATTAATTGATCAATATCACCATGCTAGAGATGATCAAAATAAGGAAGAATGTGCTCATTAGTAAGTGTTTAGGGGCCAGACAATGCTGAAGCAGTAAACTCTGATGTACTGCAAGGCTGAACCACACAGGAAAGTCCTGGGTTCGCTTCTGGAGACCTCCCTTTGCATGCTGGACACTTGCATGCCCATGATCTGGGGCTGAAGTCAGGGGTGGGTTCCTGTGATCAGACCCTATCAGGGGTGCTCTCTCTCTCTATCTCTCTCATTCAAGGAAGAAATAAATAAACTTAAAAAAAGGTAAATTTTATTTCAAGTCCTGAATAATATGATGTTGACTGCTTTTATGTATGTAACATAAAATATAGAGATAGGGCCAACAGGTGGAATGGGAGCTAATGCGCTGGATCCCACATGGCCAACTACATGGTTCAAGTCCTGGACCAGCAGCTTGAAAATCACACCTGGAGCACATGTGTGCATTTCCAAAATCCTGAGAAGAGATTGGAGGAAAAGGGATTGTGGGGTAACCTTTCCCCTTGGGGGGGTGATTTCTTTCTCTCTCTCTCACATGCACCCTATAGCAAAAATTAAAGTATATATACACACATAAATATGTATAGTTTATGAATATATATATATATACTTTACATATATATACATATATGTGTGTGTATATATGTATATATTTGTAGAGAGGGAGAGAGAGAGATAAGAATAGATATAGTCAGTAGGCCACCAAATTAGTTCAATATTTGAATTTTTTTTCCAATCTAATGATATGTACAACAAAGATAAAAATGCTATGGGACAGAGCAAGCTACTGCACATGGTGGCAATGTGCATGCTTACATGCATATACCAACATGTGTCGTGTAAGATTTTATTATACAAGAAGCATAGTCCATCTTTGAATGACACCCTATGTTATTGTCTGCATTTTATCCTCAGGATAAGGTTATAGAGATAAGTGATAGGAGGCAGGCGAGAGGAGAGGCATGATTCTATTATCTGACTGATGAAGAAAATGGGGTATGGAGTGGGCACAGAGCTTGAACGGGATCTTAGCCTTCTCTTGTTGCTCTCTAGCCTTTCTAAGACCCTGTGCTGCCTTGAGGAGACGAGCTTCCTTAACTTCTATGGCATTAAGGATTTTAATGTAACTTTTAAAAATAGCTATTTTATATTAGAGATTTTTGCTCTAGGGTGTGTGCACTTGCTGGAGAGGTACAGAGAGACAGAAAGCAAGAAATCACCCTCTAGAGAGTGTGGCCACACCGCAATCCTTTCTCTTTCATTCTCCTCTCAGGATTTTGGACATGCATGCACATATGCCCTGTATGAGTTTCAAGCCACTGGGTCCGGACTCAAATTGCAGTCAACTACATGGGAGTCCAGCGCCTTAACTATTACACCACCTACTGGCCCCTTAAATGGCCATTTTAAAGGAGACTCTCCTCAAAAAAGCCTCTAATTGACATAATGAAAAATAATCTTCAAGGCATGGAAGTGGCTGGGTCCCACATGGCCAACTCAGTTCAAGTCTTGGACCTGGCAGCCTGAAAAACATTCAGGGTGCATATGTAAATGTGTCTAAAGTACTGAGAGAAGAATGGAGGAAAAGGATTATTTCCTGGCCATCCCCCTTGGGAGGGTGCTTTTTTACTTCTCTCTCTTTCTGTCTGTCTCTGCCAAACACATGTGCCCTATAACAAGAAAGAAAAAACAATAATAAAAATAAAGAAAACTTCTAGCCAGCTGGTGATTAAGGTTAAACTTAAGGTGACTGGATCTCACATGGATGACTGCATGGTTAAGAGTCCTGGGATCTTGTGAGAGTCCTGGGATCTTGTGGCCTGAAAAAATACATGGGGTGCATGTATGTGCATGCCCAGAATCCCAAAAGTAGGAAGTAATGGAGAAGGGATTGCAGCATGGCCATCCTGCATGGGGGTGGGGGGTGGGGGTGCTCTTTCTTTCACTCTCGCTCTGACTTTTTAGCTAGCACATGTGCCTTCTGGAAAATTGAAAAATAATAATCATAAGACTTCAAATTCTACTCAGAATCACCACCACAACTCCACAGTTTACTTTTGTGTTTCTAGTCTCTGTCTTGTTTACTAAAAACTAGCCACTTAACTGTTATGGAATTGACTGAACCTCCCTCCTAGCTTTCCTTCTAGGTCGTATTACAGACCAAATGCAAGGGTTTTCGGTATATTTGTTTTTCTTATGACAAGTTATAACATACCAAAATCTATAAAATGATGAATGACTTGGAAAAAAGCAAAAATGAGTATCTCCACCAGATCCTGAAATAATAAGAATACAGTATTTGTTTAAAACCAGTACAGTAGGGACCAATAGATGGCATAATGGTTACATCGCTAGACTCCCATGGTAGTTGATTGAGGTTCAAGTCCTGGACTCAGCGGGTTAAAGCACGCTCAGCATGTGTGCATGTATGCCCAAAACCACAAGAGAACAGAGGAAAAGGGATTGTGGTGTGGCCATCCCCTCTGGAGGGTGATTTCTTATTTTCTGTATCTCTGCCTCTAGTGCAGTACAGAATGATTATAAATTATTCATTGTAATTGTATTAGAGTGACCTTTAAGGTCCAAATAGAATCCATGGGACTCATTATTCTAAATGTTTCAAACAGAATCTATGGGACTCGTTATTCTAAGTGTTCGAATCACTGACAATACAGAGGTGATATCACAGGACAGAATCCCTACCATCTTCACTGGGTTGCTGTTAACAAGGATGTGTATTTGCTTGTCAACATACACAGAAGGGTACATGGAAGAGATGTGTTTTTTGCTTTAACAGATGGAAGAAAGCAAAAATGTAAATGAAAGCACAATTAAATTACTTCTTTTTTTCTGACTATTTTCACTTTGTACAAATTCACAAATAATCCAAGTTCACTTCAGAGAATTTAGAAATGATTGCTGAGAAAATACAGTTATTCTTTAGCTATAAGCATACAAAACACACTGCTGAGGCTGTATATTAACCTTTAAAATGTTGATTACTAATTAGTAAATAGATGGGTAAGAAGTATCATTTTTTAATAGTAATAATTTTTTTCTTAAGCTGTTTGTTTGTTTTTTATTTCAGCAAAGGAGTGTGGTGGAGTCTTTACAGATCCCAAGAGAATTTTTAAATCTCCAGGCTTCCCGAATGAGTATGAAGATAACCAGATCTGCTATTGGCACATTAGACTCAAGTATGGTCAGCGTATTCATCTGAGCTTTTTGGACTTTGACCTTGAAGATGACCCTGGTTGCTTGGCTGACTATGTAGAAATATATGATAGTTATGATGATGTGCATGGCTTTGTGGGAAGGTATGTATTGGTTCCTCATATGGGAAGTCAATGAATGTAAAGTGTTTTGTTTGATGTTTATTTAATTAATCTTCCTTCCACTGTTCCTGCCATACTGATCCTCCAGTAATTCTACTGTCTTGCAAAATCTTCTTCAGTGAAGATTTTTAACTATTACATGTATTTATTAAAATATTAATAGCCACTTTTTAATTACTGTTGATTTGTAAGAACTCATCCGTCTTACAAAAAACTCAAGATTTGACGAACAACTGGAAGTAAAAGTGATACATGAATTGAAAAATTTGTTGGGACTTCAAGGTGTTCTAATTTCTGTTAACCTAAAAATTATTATACATTCAGCAATTTCTTTTTAGAGTTTTTTTTGCTATAGAGCACGTGCGCTCGCCAGAAAGACAGAGAGATAGAAAGCGAGGAATCACCGCCCAGGGGAGATGGCCACGCCGCAATCCCTTCTCCATTCTCCTCTCAGGATCTTGGGTACGCATGCACATGTGCCCAGCTTGAGTTTAAGCCACCGGGTTCGGGACGCAAACCGCGGCCAACTACATGGAAGTTCAGTGACATAGCCATTACACTAACTGCTGGTCCCACATTCAGCAATTCTTGTCTTTCCTCTTCTTATAAAATACTGTGCTAAACTTTATGGATATAAGGTAAATATGCAAAAGATAGCTGATGGCATGGTGGTTAAGGTGTTTGGCTCCCACATGGCTACTGTGTCCTTCGAGTCCCGGAGGCCACAGCTTGAGAAACATTCAGGGCACATGTGTATGCATGCCCAGATCCTGAGAGGACAATGGAGGAGGAGGGATTGTTATGTAGCCACCCCCTCAGGAGGCACTTTCTCACTTTCTCCCTCTCTATATCTCTCTCTGGTGAGCACACATGACCTATAGCAATCTAAATATAAATAAAATAATTGAAAAATGAGTCTTATGAAAAATAAAGCACATTAATTATCAATAAAAGTCACTTCTATAGCTATATAATAGTCATTCATTGATCTCTCTTTCTTAATATTGCCTTTCAGGTACTGTGGAGATGAACTTCCAGAAGATATCATTAGTACAGGTAATATTCCAAATTAAAGAGCAAAATTATCATTTGTTATATGAAAGTGAAGGACCTAACTAGTTATTATTATTCACTTGTTAAAGTTGAGAGAACTGAGGCTAAATGTAGCTTATCTGCTCATAAAATGCAATGACTTGCTTATGCATGCTTAAAGGAAGATTCATGTGAACTCCTTGCATGAAAAATGTATAGATTTGTGTTATTTGCAGAAAATGCAATCTGAGATGGTTTTGAATCTGCAGATCATAAATACTGCTATAGCTTATGATCCCTATAAAATGCAGTCATAAAATAGCTGAAAATGTTCATCCATGAAGGACTTTAGTAATTTCTAATATTGTTAAACATACTTTGTCATTTAAAAACATGTTGTATTTATTACATTGTAATCCTAGTATATCATTTCCCAGAGAATGTTCTGAAGACCACCATTCTGCAAGCTGTTTAAAATAGGTGTGACTTGGGCCGGCTCCATAGCCCAGTGGTTGTATGCTATTTGTTAGAAGCTGGATCCCACATGGCCATCCAAGGTTCAACTCCAGGTCTTAGTGGTTTGAAAAACACACTGGGCATGTGTGCCTGTGGGTCCAGAATCCTGACAGGTTAGAGAAATAAAGAAAAAAAGAATTGCAGCATAACCACTCCCCATTGGAGACTGCTTTCTCTCTCCATCACTGTCTTTGGCAGGCGTGCTCTCTCTGACAAAATAAATAAATAGGTGTGACTTGGGTAAAGGGTTCTAAGGTCAAATAAATTTGGAAAACATTGGGTTTAACAATGTTAAACAGGTTTCCTTATTGAAAGATGTTAGAAATCTTCTAATATGCTAATTATGCATAGTAAATATGCCATAGTACATGGAATAGATAATGTTTTCCAAATCTGGCTTCCTCGCAAGTTATTTTGTATGACCTTCTTCCAAGACATATAGTTCAGTAAATATCTTTGTAGTACCATAAATCTATCCCAGAAAGCAACACGACTTTAGTTTATCCCAAATCGCTATTTTCTGGCAATAACTTTCACTTTCTTAGATTCCCCCCCTTTTTAAAAATTTTTATCACTAGCATCAGCAGTTGGCATTGTTATGGTTCTATTATTCCTCCAAGTCATAAAATTATTACAATACTTCTGCAACTAAAATCAACAATGCTGCATTGAATTACAATTTCTAAGTGATTTTTTTTTTTTGAGAGGTTTTTGCTGTAGGGAGTGTTCACTCACCAGAAAAACAGAGAGAGACAGAAAGTGAGAAATCACCCCCTAGAGGGTGTGGCCACACCGCAATCCCTTCTCCTCCATTCTCCTCTCTGGATATTGGGAATGCACGCACAAGCACCCAGCATGAGTTTAACCCACCAGGTCTGGGACTCCAACTGTAGTCAACCACATGGGAGTTCAGCGACATAGCCATTACACCAACTGCCGGTCCCTCTAAGTAATCTTTAAACTTTAATACTACTAGTTAATTTACTCCCAGACTTATAGTATACTCAACTCTAATTTATCCACCATTATTAAAAGGGGTGCAATGTCCTGCTCTACCTTTGAATAGGCAATGCTTAAACCTCATTCATTCATCGCACTGTTACAAACCTCCCTAGAAAGGGTAAATTAGTAAATCTGTTATTACCTCTTTTTCATGTCTTTTTTGTTTTTTAAAGAAAACAACTATCTACTTAATTTTATTTATTATTTTTAAAATTTGCTATAGGGCACATGCACTTACCAGGAGAGGCAGAGACAGACAGAGAGAAAGTTAGAAAGCAAGCCACCAGGTCCGAGACCCGATCCATGGTCAGCCATATGGGAGTCCAGTGCCTGAACCACCACACGACCTGCCAGCCCCACTTCTTATTAATGTCTTAAGAACATATTCATTATGTTAACAAAAAGTTGAAATGAGGCATCCTAGCGCACTAAGGGGTAGTTGGGGGTGAGAATCCTATTAGCAAACTAAGTCAAAAGGAAGTCTGAAATTCAACATTTTCCTTATTGTCTAAAAACTGACAACTTACTCCAAGCATAACAAAATCAATGTTGGTTTTTGTTTTTGTTTTTGTTTTTTTGTGGCACAACTTCAATAAACTTAAAAAATTAAAAATTAAAAACCAAACAATGTTCTATTCAAAGAGAAACAAATAGAAAAGAATATAATTAAACTAAAAAAAAAAAAAAACAGATTTACAGCGGGAAGAGGAAATTGATACAAAGTACATAAAAGCCAAAGATACAGTTAACATAAAATCTTATCAGTCAAGCATAATACTGTTAAATTTTTTATTTAATCTTCTTAATACGAGCTTACTCAAACCAAGATATTTGTATTAAAAGGCAAAAACAGAATATAGATCAATTAAAACCACCCATAGTCTCACCACATTAACAAAAAGAATATAAAGTAAAAATGTGTCCATGCTCTTTATCTCTCTATCCAAGAAAGGATTTGATAAATATGTAGTAACTGTTCATACTTTAGAAATAATATTTTCCTGCTAATATATTTTCCGTCTATAGAAATATTATATAAATGAATATTATAGACATAGTTTCAAGTAGAGTACACTATTTAGATCATTATTTTTTAAAAAATGACTATTGGGTCACTATATAGATAAACCATAATTTACACAAATTTACCTATATAGATATTACCTGTACATAAAGGTCAAAATAAGCTAAAAATAAAAAAGAAAAATCTTTTTATTTTTAAGAGAGATTTTTTTTACTTACTGGAGAGACAGAAACAAAAAGTAAGAAATTACCCCCCAAGGGAGATGGCCACTTTACAATCTCTTCTCTTCCATTCTCCTCTTGGAACTTTGGGCACGCACGCACACACACCAGGTTTGAGTTCTAAGCTGCTGGGTCTAGGACTCAAACCACGGTTGACTATGTGGGAATCCAGCTATGTTACCATAATGCCATCTGCTGGTCCCAGAAAACTCTATTTTATACACACACACACACACACACACACACACACACATAGATATTTTAAGGTTTTTGCCATAGGGTGTGTGTACTTGCTGGAGAAAGACAGAAAGAGTTGGCAAGAGGAAAAGTGAGAAATCGCTCTCGGGGGATGGTCATGCCACAGTTCCTTCTCTATTCTGCTCCTGAGATTTTTGGGCACACCTGCACACATGCCTGATGTGATTTTCAAGTCACCAGGTCTAGTTCTAAAACTGCAGTCAGCTATGTGGAAATCTAGCACCTTAACCACTCTGTGACCTGCTGGTCCCTATTATATATATGTATTTTAAAGGAATATATCAGGGACCAGCAGATGATATAATGGTTACATTGTTGGATTCCCACATAGTCAATTAAGTTTCCAGTCCCAGACCCAGCGACTTAAGCTCACGCTGGGCAGATGTGAGTGCATGCCCAAGATCCTGCAAGGAGAATGAAGGAGAACAGATTGCAATGTTGCCACCCACCATGGGGAAAGAGAGGGTGATTTCTCACTTTCTCTCTCACTATCTCCACCTGCAGCTCACTCTCTCTCTCTCCATCTCTCTCTCTCTCTCTCTCTCTCTCTCTCTTCAGAGAGCACACACACTCTAAGGCAAAAACCTCTTTAAAGTAAGGACTATATCAATAATTTATACCAATATTTAACATCTTGAAGACGATAGCTTCTGATTTTTTTCCTTTTACCATTCAGTGTTTCAATGAACATTCAAAAATCTCTAGTTTAATTGTAAGTACTACCTTTCTCTGTAAGGGAAACTTTGGGATCACAAGTAAAGTGCATTTTTAATGTCGATAGATGCTGCCAAATTAGCCCAAGCCCTGCACTGCCAATTTGTGTTTCGACCAAAGCATGGTATTTTCTAAAACCCCACACAATAGTAGAGAAAAACAATATCATTGTTGATCTAATTTTATTTCTTTGAAGTGTTTTCTTGAACATCTGTTTGTGTTTACTTATCCTTTGAACACCTATGAGTTTATCTTCTTTGCATGTTCTTCTTCGAAGTGTTCATCTTTTTCTTTGTTTATTTCTAGCAGTTCTTTATATATGACATCTTAATCCTATTTTCTCTCAATCTGTCTCTTGCTATTTAACCTCAGTTTATTTTACAAAAAAGCAAAAACATTTTATACAAGTAGTCAAATCTTTCAAGCATGAGCAAGGTAAAATACAAATCACAGCATGCACTCTGAAACCAGATTCTCAAATCTAACTCAGTCAACTTAGCTGTGTCTCTGGACACAATGCTCAGTCTTCCTGTGCCTCAGTTTTGTGTCTGTAAAATTAATATTGTACTTTAAAAAAAAATTTGCTAGAGGGTATGTGCACAGAGAGACACAGAGAGTGAGAGAAAGTGAGAAAGCATCCTCCTCCCATGGGCAATGGTCATGCCACAATCCCATCTCCTCCATCTGTCCCTCCTTTCTTGGTTTTGAGCATGCATGAAGATGCAATTAGCATGTTTTTCAAATTACAGGGTCAGGATTTGAATCATGAAGTAGATCTCCTATGTGGGATACAGCTGCCTTAACCACAATGCCATGGGCTAGCCCTATAAAATTAATATTTTTAACACATCCATTTGATAGTGTTGTTGCAGGAATTAAATGAATTAATAGATGAAAGCAAACATCAGTTGTGTGTGTGTGTGTGTGTGTGGGTGTGTGTTTATTTTTTAAATTGATTCTGAATCTTTTATCTGGATTAAGAAAGCCTTTCCTTCCTGAGAAAGATAATTATTAAAAAATTTTATATAATTAAGTGTCCCTTTTCATTTTTAGCTAATTTTGAGCTAGATGGGCAAGTAAAATGTATTAGGTGCTTTGTGTAAAGTACAATAGAATGGGGACCAGCAGTTAGCGTAATGGCTATGTCGCTGGACTCCCACGTAGTCGACCGCAGTTCAAGTCCCGTACCCGGTGGCTTAGATTCACGGCCGGGCACATGTGCGTGCGTGTCCAAGATCCCGAGAGGAGAATGGAGGAGAAGGGATTGCAGTGTGGTCATCCCCCCTGGGGGGTAATTTCCTGTTTTCTGTCTCTGTCTCTCTCTGTCTGTCTGGCGAGCGCACACACCCTATAGCAAAAACCTCTCCAAAAAAAAAAAAGTACAATAGAATGTTCATTCTACAAAAAGTACCTTTTAAAACAGAATTGACAAAATTTCCTTGAGGACAGATTGGAGGGCCAAAGGTAAAAATATGAGAATCCTCACTCTGCTCCACTTAAAAATCAAACCACAGATTTTATAGTTTGACAATCCACCTCTAAACTTTGAGAGTCTTGTTGATGAATTCTTATATTTGCCTCTGAGAATAATGAGCCTTGAGCAGTCTGACTTATCAAAGGAGAGTAACATCTTTGTTCTTTTTTCATGTCACCCCCCAGGAAATGTCATGACCTTGAAATTTTTGAGTGATGCTTCAGTGACAGCAGGAGGTTTCCAAATCCAGTATGTTGCTGTGGATCCTATATCCAAATCCAGTCAAGGAAAAAATACAAGCACAACTTCTACTGGAAATAAAAACTTTTTAGCAGGAAGATTTAGCCATTTGTGAAACAAAACAAGAATGATCGGAATATACAGTGTTTATGTTTGCATCTTTTGAAACCCACTTGCTCTCATTTTTATATTATTATTATCAAAGTTTATTTATTATTTTTCTAAATGTGAAAGCAATAAATAACTTGGGGGAGATTGTAAAACACAGAAAACATTAAATGAGAATGTAAAATCTCTCATAACCCCACTGCGTAGAAACAACAAAGGTTAACATTTTTACATTTTTTCTTTCAGTCATTTTTTATTTGTGGTATATGTATATATGTATCTATATGTATTTTTATTTGAAATTTTGGAAATACTGCTCTCTGTACAGTTTTATATCCTTTTTTTTAAACCTTAAACTTTATGGCTTAAGCATTTTTCAAAATAACTGAGTGCTCTACATAAACATGATTCTGAAAAACGTCAAATATTTCATGGTATGATTGATCCGTACTTTATTTAAACCTGTCTTTATTGTTGGAATTTTAGGTTGTTTTTCAAACATATCTCTGTAATAATAAACGTTCTTGAACACAAATATTTGTGCGGCTCTCTAATTATGTAGGACAAGGTCCCTAAAGTAGGATTACTGATCAGAGGTTTGTTAAAATAAATGTTTTTTTTGTGTTAGACAAAATAAGACATCACTGTGGTTTGAATTTGCATTTCTTCATCAGCAAGATTGATTCACAAGTTGATTCTTATTGGTTTAGGCCAATTTTATTTCCCTTCCTCTCTCTTTCTATTTTTTTTTTTTTAAACATGTGTACTCACCAGAGACAGAAAGATGGAGAACGGGAGAAGGAAAAAGCACTCCTCCCTCTATCCCTGTAGTGTGGCATGGTCATGCTGCAATTCCTTCTCTATTTCTCCATCCTGATAGGACGTTTTGGGCATATATGCATGCTTTGGTGTGTTTTTTAAGTAACCAGGGCCAGGATTTGAATTGCGTGTTCAGTCACGTGGGATCTGCCTCCCTTAACCATCAGACCACAAGACTGGCTTTGGCCAATTTTATTTCTTTTGTAGGTTATTTTTTCATATCTTTCCTTTCAAAGTTTTTAGGTTTATTTGTTTTATTCATGAACGAGACCAAGCGGCACCCTTGGCATGGCCTTGTCACACCATAATCCCTTCCCTAGCCCTCCAGCTTGACAGAATCTTGGCCACAAATACATACTTATCATATTCCACGTCAACCAGACTGAGGATCCCAACCTGTGGTTGGTCCTGTGGCTTGCAGCACTGCAGTTCTGTATACTACCAACTCTGCCATTGAATCTGAGACATCCTTTTACCTACTTTTAAAAACTAGTTTACTCGGTACCAGCAGTTGTGCAATGGCTATGTTGCTGGACTCTCATGTAGATGACCGCGGTTTGAGTCCCAGACTTGGTGGCTTAAACTCACACCGGGTGTATGTGTGTACATTCCTGCCCAAAGATCCCGAGAAGAGAATGGAGGAGAAGGGATTGAGGCATGGCCATTCCCCCTGGCGGGTGAGGTCTCACTTTCTGTCTGTCTCTTTCTGTCTTCCCGGAGAGTGCACGCACCCTATAGCAAAAAATCTCTCCAAAAAACAAAAAAAAAATAGTTTACTTTTTTCTTTTAGTAATTTGTAATAAATGATTGTATTAGGTATATATACCCATGTCTGTGAAAAATGTTGCAATTTAGTTTTGTTTGTAGTTTGCCTCTTACTTATATGATTCTGTGTCTGTGTGTGTGTGTAATACATGTGTGCATGCATGCCCCAAATCCCATGCATATGTAGTGCTTTTTGCTGTTTTTCAGACAGGGTCTCGCTATGTCATGATCATCCTTCCTCAGGAATTAGTAACAGGGTAACTGGGACTATAGGCATGCACCACCTTGTTTTCTTTCAGGGTAGGCCAGTAATGGAACCCAGGAGTCTAATGTGGCTGTAGCCAACTAATAGTGTTCAGCTGGGTCTATGATGTTTTTTCACATATCAAAGGTTAAAATTAATTTGTTCTTGTATATATTGGTTTTGCTGAGGTCTTTCTTGTATTTATGTTAAGGATTGAGAAAAGACAAAATTATAGCACATTTAGTTGACAGATCTTAATTAGCTGTTGCTTATGATTCTAGAATTTGGCAGAACCTACTTCATTTTTTAAATGGAGTATTCTGATGAGTTAAATAGAAAAGGTGGAATTTAAAGTAAAAAAAAAAATGGGCTGAAGGAGACCAGCAGGTGGCGTATTAGTTAAGGAACTGGACTCCCACAGAGTAGACCACAGTTTGAGTCCCAGACCTGGCTTGAAACTCACACCAGGCACATGCGTGGGCGTGCCCAAAATCCTGAGAGGAGATTGAAGGGGGAGGAATTTTGGTGTGGCTATCCTCCGCCCCTCCCAGGAGGAAGGGTGTGATTTCTCACTTTCTGTCTCTCTCTCTGGTGAGTGCACACACCCTATAGTAAAAATCTCTCTCTCAAAAAAAGGGGGAGAGCAAGCACTGAGAACTGAGAAAAGCATAATCAAAGGAGAGAAATCAGGGCCAGTGGTGGCATTGCAGTTAAGGCAGCTGAATCCCACATGGTCCTTGTGCAGTTCAAGTCCTGGACACTGTGGCTTGAAAAACACGCTGGCCATGATGTGTGCATGCATGCTCCAAATCCCGAAAGAGGAGGAAAAAAGATTGTGTGTGCGCAAGAGTGTCTTCTAAGCCTCTCCCTCTACCTCCTTTCCAAGGAGAGCATGTGTCCTTTAGCAAAATGGAAAAAAAAAAAAGAAGAAGATGAAGAAGATAAGTCAGATTGGTCATTTCAAAATTACTTTCCTTGTAAAGGTAGGAGACTTTCTATCATGCGGTTAAAAACTGGCCTGTTAGACGTCTGGCTATTGTTTCTCTCTGCTGCTTTCTTGGAAGGTCATATAAATAACAGTTTCGGCTTGGTGGTGTGAAACTTCAGCATGAGTAATCTCCCTGCAGTTTGGTCTGTTGGGCCTGGTGTAGGAGATCAGTCCACACCAATGGCCTCTATAGATTTTCACACTTAACAAGAAGAACATTCTCATTATAAGATTAGATGTTTATTCATGTATATTTTACTTTTGTTTTATTACTTCACCTTTTTAGAGGAGAAAACAGTTGTACAGATGAGGAATGGTGAATCTCAGAAAATGATAGCCTAGCCCAGAGTGGGATGCTTTCTTGATACGCTGAGTACTTCTTCTATTTTTTATTTTTTAAAGATTTTTGCTATAGGACACATGCATTCACCAAAGAGACAGAGAGAAAGTGAGAAATCACTCGCTCACCCCCCGTGGAGATGGCTATGCCACAATCCCTTCTCCTTCATTCTCCTCTCAGGATTTTGGGCACATATGCACATGCACCACCTGGTATTATCTTCAAGTCACCAGGTCTGGGACTAAACTGCAGTTGGCCATGTGGGAGTCCAGCGCCTTAACCACCATGCCACCGGCTGGACCCTATGCTGAGTACTTTTAACAAAAGGAGACTGGAAGGCCTCAAGAGCAAGGTGTCTGATTTTCCTCTTTCCTGCCTCCCTCTCTTTTTTCTCACTCAAAGTAAGTCATATAAACCAGATTTCCTGTTCCCCAAGGGGAGTCATAGTGAATATAACTCCTTTTCCCCAAAGTAAGTTATACTACCTAGAAAGGTCACTCTCTCCCTGAAAAGCCCTTCTTTCTTTCTTTCTTTCTTTTTCTTTTTTTGGAGAGGTTTTTGCTATGGGGCACATGCAGTCACCAGAAAGACAGAGAGAGACAGAGAGATAGAAAGCAAGAATTCACCCCCCAGGGGGGATGGCCACACCACAATCCCTTCTCCTCCATTCTCCTCTCGGGATCTTGGGCACACACTCACATGTGCCCGGTGTGAGTTTAAGCCGCTGGGTCCAGGACTAGCACCACGGTCGGCTACCTGGGAGTTCAGCGACATAATCATTACACTAACTGCTGGTACCAAAAGCCCTTATTTCTGAGGTGTCCTACCCCATTCCTAGAAAGGAGAAATGGCATACTGAGAAGCAGAGAAGACCCTGAACAGTCTTGCTGGCTTTCCTTGCCTCAGTCTACTACCATCACATTGTACCTTTTTTGTCCAATCACATTTCTATGCAGTTGTTCATTTTTCACCAAATCTAAGTATAAAAATAGGCAGTTTTCCCTGGATGTCAGGTCTTGATTTCTGAAGGCTCTCATGTCACATAAAACTTTGATTAAATACATGTGTTGAGTTTTTCTCTGATTAAAACTGTCCTCTTTTGTAGACGTCATGACCCTTACGATGGGTGAGGAAAGGTGTCACACATTTCCACCTTTATAGGAGCAATTATTCATCAAATTAAAGTCAATAAAAATTGTGTACAAAGACATGTTCTAGGTACTTGGGAAGCACTAAAGACAAAAGTGAAAAATTCTAGCTTAACGGCTTATATTCTGGTGGCAGGAGAAAGACAATAATTAGCATACATAATAGGGCCAGCCTCACGGCCTAGTGTTTATAGAAGCCAGATTCCGTGTGGCTGACCATGTGCTTAGAATCCTGGACTCTGGACACATGTGCCTGGTGTGTGTGTGTGTGTGTGTGTGGGTGTGTGTGTGTGCCCCAGATCCCAACAGGATGGCTAAGAGGAGGAGAAGGGATTGTGGTGTGACTGTGTCTCATTGAGGGGTGTTTACTTCCTCTCTCTCTCTCTCTCTCTCTCTCTGTCTTTCTCTGATGGGTCCACATGCCCTCTGTCTCCCTGCAAAAAAGAAAAAAATATATACACATGACAAATTTGTGAACTACACATTACAGATTAGTGTGTTGCATATTAAATTCCCCTGAGAATATTGTAATTTTTTTAAAGAGGTTTTTGCTATAGGGTGCGTGTGCTCGCCAGACAGACAGAGAGAGACATAGAGATAGAAAGTGAGAAATCACCCCCCAGGGGGGATGGCCACGCCGCAATCCCTTCTCCTCCATTCTCCTCTCTGGATCTTGGGCACGTATGCACACGCGCCCGGCGTGAGTTTAAGCCACCGGGTCTGGGACTCGAACCACGGTCGACTACGTGGGAGTCCAGCGACAGCCATTAACGCTAACTGCTGGTCCCAGAATATTGTAATTTTTTAAGAGAGATTTTTGCTACAAGGTGTGTGCACTTGCCAGAGAGACAGAGAGATAGAAAGCAAGAAATTACCCTCATGGGGGGATGGCCATCCTACAATCTCTCCCTCCATGCTCTTCTTGGGATTTTGGGCATGCATGCACATGTGCCCAGGGTGAGTTTCCAGCCACCAGATCCAGGAGTCCAATGGCAGTCAGTCACTTGGGAGTCCAGTAACATAACCATTATGCCATCTGCTGGTCTGTATTACTGTAATTTTGATAGGCATTTTTAGTGGGGTGGAGGCGTCAAAGGCCTGGCCAAAATGTGTTGAAGAGTGAAGTAAAGAATGGAAGTTGGGGATAGTGGGCATGGGCATCTGGAAGTGGTAGCTATCAGGGCAATTGGGCTCAAAGAAGTCTCTCAGGATGGGAATGAAATTAGAGCTG